AACCCTTTCTTTGTCTCAGTCTTCTCCAAAAAGGTGATTGGAGTTCAACCTGAGTAATACAGAGCAGACGAGGTAATGGAAGAAATGCAATCCAAAATAAATAAGAAAGTAGTCAAGGAATACCTGACAATTCAAGTCTCCAGGGCCAGGTGAACTACCTCCAAGAGTATTAAAGGAACTAGCAGAAGTCATTTCAGAACCACTGGCAATAACCTTTGAGAATTCTTGGAGAACAGGATAAGTCTCAGCATACTGAAGAAGGCCAAATGTTGTCCCTCTCTTCAAAAAGAGAAAAAAGATAACCCACACAATTACTGCCCAGTCAGCTTGACATCAGTACTAGAAAAGATTCTGCAGCAAATCATTAAGGGGGCAGTCAACAATCACTTAGAAAGAAATGCTGTAATTACTAAAAGTCAACATGGATTTCTCAAAAACAAGTCATTCCAGACTAGTCTTATCTCTTTTTTTGATAGAGTTGTAAGCTTGATAGATGCAGGGAATGCTGTGGATGTAGCATATCTTTATTTCAGTAAGACCTTTGACAAAGTACCCCATGAACTTCTTATAAGCAAACTAGTCAAATGTGGGCTAGGCAACACTACTATTAGATGGAGCTGTAATTGTTAAGCGACCGAACCCAAAGGGTGTTCACAAATGTTTCCACTTCATCCTGGAAAGAAGTGATTAGTGGAGTGCTGCTGAGTTCGATCCTGGGCCCAGTTCTATTTAACATCATTATTAATGACTTGGGTGAAGGTTTAGAGGGCGTGCTTATGAGGTTTGCAGATGACACCAAATTAGGAGGGATAGCTAATACCCCAGAAGGCAGAAGCAGAATTCAAAATGACCTTAAAAGATTAGAGAGCTGGGCCAAAAACTAACAAAATGAATTTTAACAAGAACAAATGTAAGATACTAGACTTAGGCAAAAAAAAAAAAATGAAATACAAAGATACAAAATGGGTGATGCTTGGCTCGGAACAGTCCATGTGAGAAAGATTTTGGAGTCTTTGTGGACAACAAGTTGAACATGAGCCAACAGTGTGATGCAGCAGCTAAAAAAGCCAATGGGAGTGTAGTGTCTAGATTGAGGGAAGTCTTTGTATTCTGCTTTGCTTACACCTCACCTGGAATTCTGTGTCCAATTCTGGGCACCACAATTCAAAACAGTTATTGACAACCTGAAATGTGTGCAGAGGAGGGTGACAAAAATGATCAAAGATCTGGAGACCAAGCCTTATGAGGAGCATCTGAAAGAATTGGGTATGTTTAGCCTGCAGAAAAGAAGGTTGATAGACATGATAGCCATGTATAAATATTTGAAAGGGTGTCATATGAAAGAGGGAGCAGACTTGTTTTCTGTTGCCCTTGAAACTAGGACTAGGGGCAATGGGTTCAAATTACATGAAAGGAGATTCCATCTGAACATTAGGGAGAACTTCCTGATTGTGCTTTTCCTGCATGGCTGGGGGTTGGACTAGATGGCCCATGTGGCCTCTTACAATTCTATGATTCTATGATTTCATTTTTCTTTATTTGTGGAGCCCAGGAATAAAAACTGCTCCAACCACCATTTATATTTTGTTTTGCCAAAAAACTAATGTGCTCTTAATAACCATTTTTGTTCAAATAGTACTAAATTACTTTAGTAATCTCATGCCCAGTTGAGATGTTGAAAATGAAGTAGTATCTTCAAGAAGTGTATATTTACAAACTTTTGCCCCATTTTGGGCATTTGAGTCAACACAGTGATGCAGTGGCCAAAAAAGCCAATGTAATTCTGGTGCAGACTGAGGGGTGTAGTAGCGCCACTCTGTTCTACTTTGGTTAGCCCTCACCTGGAATATTGTGTCCACTTCTGATTACTGCAGTTCAACAATGGCATTGACAAACTAGAACATTTCAAGAAAAGGGTCAGCAATATGATTAGAGGTCTGGAAACCAGGCCTTATGAGAGAGCTGGGTATATTTAGCTTGCAGAGGAGAAGTGATGTGACAGCTGTCTTTAAATATCTGAAGAGATGTCATGTAGAAGATAAATCAAGTTGTTTTCTGCTGCTCCAGAAGCTGAACATGAACCAATAGATTCAAATTATAAGAAAGGGGATTCCACGTAAACATTAAGAAGAATTTATTTATTGTTAGGAGCTGTTTGACAGTGGAATAAATTGCAAATAGATGTTGGGATCTCCTTCTTGGAGGTCTTTAACCAGAAATTGGATGGGCATCTTTCAGGAGTTGTGCATTGCTGTATGGCAGGAGATTGATTAGATGTCTCTTGTCCCATCCAACTCTTAAGATTCTGTTTGAAAACTTTGTCCATTCAGGATGAATTCATATATCTAAAAATTAAAGTGGTGAGGGCTGAAATAAAGTCACATTGATTTTCTTTTTATGTAGCCGCCATCATTTTGAAGTGCAAGCTTATGCTCTGCCTTGTGCTGTGTATACTCCGTTGGAAGGAAATCAACCTGCAAAAAGGAATGTCATATGTCAAGAGCAAGATGTTGCTACAGGCATTTTTGTCTGTTTTGAATCTGCTCCCAATCGATTTCATTGATTGGCTCCAAAGTTCTAGCAGAGAGGGAGAAACCTATTGTCTATGCCATTCTTATTCATCAGCTATAAGCCTGTGTAGTGCATCTCCTTTTCTCTCACTGACCTCTAAACTAAAAAAAAAAAAAATCAAATACTATGGGCCTTCTTTGTGTTGAAGGCACTCAGATCCCTTTGTTGCCCTTGTCTGTGCCTCTTCGATTTTCTTCTTGAGATGGGTGTCATAGACACATCAGGCTCTCTGTGGAGGTTGTTGACTAAAGCCACAAATGTATCTCATTACTATCTTCAGTCTTGACAGCTAGAGGAGCTGAAGCCTAGAAGGCTGATGTTATCTTAGCTGTGCTGAGAATGAGAGAAGGAGAGCAGCATGAAAGTAGCCCATGGAAATAATCTTCAGTGTTTAAATAACAATACTGATTATCTTTTATCTGAAATGATTGGGACCAGAAATGATTTCAGATTTTTTAATTAATATTTTGGCATCCTTATATTTGCATATTGAGATATCTTGGGGATAGGATCCAAGTCTAAACATAAAATTCATTTATGGTTCATATGCACCTTGTATACCTAGCCTGAACATCATGACTTACACATTTAAAATATTTTGGGGCATCAAACCCAAGTTTGTGTAGACTAAAGCATCAGAAAGCAAAGGTGTCACTATCGCCACAACACGTGGATTTTTTTTCTTCAAATTTTGAAATATTCTGGATTTTTGAATTCTGGATAAGGGTTGATCAGCTTGTACTGAATGTTCTCAAACTTTTGTACATAGATCATTTAAATAATTTTAGCTTTCTGGTTCTGAGTTTTCATGTACTATTTTTGTTGCACATATCATTATAAAGTACCCTGGGGATTTTGAAGTGAAATATTACAAATGGTTTAATATTCACATTCAAGTTGTTTTTTAAAGGAGTCACTGAAAATATTAATTGCTGTCTGTCATGTTTTCAAGAATTATTAGGCATGTGCAAAAATTAGGAAGTTTCGGAAATCATAGGAAAATCAAAAGTTTTGTAAGTTGGAGCTGTATTCGAAGTGTTTACCTGGCTCATACCAAGTATTTTAGAATCCAAACTTACCCCATGCATTTTCATTTTGGTTTGATAAATTTTGGAAGGCTCCCAAAGTCAGTTTCATATTCAATGCTAGACAAGGATGCAAAGCCAAAGGCTGCCTTAGTACCTTGTCATTCCTCTATTAAATCAATGCAGTCTAGGCATTAGCAGCAGGCAAAAGAGGGAGTAGTGCATTTTGGGGACAGCACAGAACTCTGGGATCTGTAGTTTGGGAAGGGAGGAGCCCTATACCAGAGAATACAAAAGGTCTTGCCCTAAACTACATTTCTCAGACTGCATCAGCATCAGAAAGCACCAGTCAGTTCTTTACTTTGAACTACTTTCAGAATAAAGACCACACAATTAAACAGGAAATTACACTTTCAAAGTGGGAACATATTTCCTTTATTATTAAAAATGTTTTTTTTTAAAAAAAAAACTTTGAAAATCTGCCAAACATCCGTGGATAAGTGAAACGATCTAAAATTTGGTGGACTAACAGTGGTCAATTTGTTCTACCATTGTAGAAAGGTTCACTCCAATAGCTTCAAAAATGAGAGAGATAGGAGCCCCTGAAGTTTCCCCAATTATAGTCATTTAATTATGCACAATTGCTGTAACAAAATAGTAATGAAATTTCTTGAATTTCGTTATAATAATGAAATTTTCACTAAGTATACTTTAGAAACACTTTTGAAATTAAGCATCAGCTCCCCCTATTTTGCAATGACTTTTGAACCATTTTTATGGATTGCACATCCCTAGTAATTATGTTTATTATCATACTTAGGCCAAAGAGTGTTGGAGATAATTAAAATATGGGTTTTTCTGAAATACCCACTCAATCTCACCCCACCCCCTTTAAAGAGAAAGACAAGGTTCAAATTTAATTAACAGAAAGGCACTCTCTTGTACGTCTTTTGGAAGCATTTCACAGTTGTATTTCAGTCACAGAATATTTATTGAGGAGCAACCTGTTAGCTTCCAAGCTGTGTTGTACAAACAGAAATTAATATTAGTTTGAAAATGTTAGACCAATTTGTTTATATAACTGTGTTGATGTGGCTACATGTAAGTTGTCAGTTGGATCCAGTTCAACAATTCAGGAAGCCTTGAATACCCAGAGCTATTTTAATCTCTCATTTTGAGCTTTAAGATTAGTGACAGCAATGCTATTCCTATTATCTCAGTTCCATAATATCATGGAGGCTTTTTGAAGGCTTGCTAACCTATTATTTCTCCCCTCTGTGTCTTTCAGCAGGGGCTCCTACTTGCTTCTTCGGAGCTGGCTGAGTCTTTCGCCTTATAGGAAGACTTTGAAGGAAAGTGCTCTAAAATGTCTTACTGTGTCTTTCTTCTGACTCATTGTTTCAGCCCAAAGCAGTGAAGAGCAAAGGAGGGCAGGAGAAGAAAGTCATCCATCCTTACAGTAGGAAAGCTGCCCAACTTACAAAAGAAGCAAACAAACAAGAGAAAAAAGAAAAGTGAGTCCTTTCATGCTTCTTCTTGTCAATGGTAGAGAAGAGGAAATACATATCTGCTGCATGCTTATAGGAATTGTCTGAAAAATTTTAATTGGCATATTCTGAATTAGATAACTTTACGGGTACATGTCTAAATGACAACCATTTCCTGTTAAATTCCTAAACTTGTGCAACTGTGATCTGACAATTGCTAACCTACAAAAGGTCATGCTGTAAAATATGAAACTAATGGAAGGTGTTCCTTCACACCTATTTTTATTTGACAGTTTAATGGCTGCCTATATTCTACACCTACATTAGTGGAAGCTACTTTGAGGAGATATTTCTATTTTATGTTACTTTTCACATATTGGGTAGCCCCCCACCCTGATTTGTCTGTTAATACAAAGATATTTTATCAACGACTTACATTTCTATTATTTTGTGATAAATGTCTGTTACGTGACCTTGATGATCTTTATGCAGTGTGCTACAGAATGATTTTGCTGTAATATGAGCCCTTGGTTGGCATTCATTTGCTAACAAATAGGATTAAAGTGGGACAGATGTAAATCCTGCTTTCATGCACACAGTTGGATTTTAGAATCAGGTCTTGCAGACTCAGGGCCATTACTCCCTTGACTGAGTCTATCCATCTCTAATTGCAGTCTTCCTCTTTTCATCATTGTTTTTTCTTGCAAGTCATATCTTCTCATGGTGCAAACACCAAGCACAAAGCATCTGCACACAATAACATCCTGTGGAAACTTACTAATAGTGCATGGGGTGCAGACCCAAAATGGATAAGAACATCAGCTTTGTCCTTGTCTTACTCAGTTGCTGAATATGCCTGCCCCATTTATATAAATAAAAATGTAATGTTCGTTTGTGGGGTTAACAGAACACAAAAACCTCTGGATGAATTGACACCAATTTTGGCAGCAAAACACATTCTAATCCAATCTGTGTCTTTCAAAAAAAAAAAAACCCCGTAAAAAATGAAGAGGAAACAACTTAAAACTTCCCAAAAAGAAAAATGCCTTACAGAGCATGCACAAAAGCCCCTCTCCCCATTGCGCAAGAAGAATGAAGCACCAGCCATTGTGAGGGAAGAGAAGCCTCGCCATGGAGTCCCTTTCCATACAGGAAGGCAGAGTCCTTTTTCTTTTGGGGAGGGGAGGGATTGAGGAAAGGAAAGAGGAAAGTAAGGAGAAGGCCTGGCCCAACGGAGGGGTGGGAGCTTGACGAGGCAAGCCCCAGCAGCAGCTGGAGCCACCGCAGTGGCTCCATGAGGCCCACGTGGCTACCAGGAAACTTTTCCCAAGACCAGAGGATTGCAAGGCAAGCCTGACTGCAGGAGCGGCTGCACACTGCCCCCCCCCCCCCTCCCCGTTGGGTGAAGGGAGGATGCGAACCATGAGAAGGCCAGCAACTCTCCCACTTGGGCTCCACATCCCCCCTTTCACCCCCCCCAAAAAAAACTTTAAAACCCTTACAAACTGTCCCGGAGGAAGGAGGGAAAGAAAGGGAAAGGAGAGAAGAAAGGAAGAAAAGGATTGGTGAAGAGAAGATTATGAATGGAAGGGAAGGTAGAAGGAAAGAAAGAGGAAGGAAGGAAGGAAGGAAGGGAAAGGAGGCAGGTATGGGAGAGGAAAGGAAGGGAAGAGGCAGGGAAGGAACAAAGAAATAAAGGGGGAAACTGGTGAATGGAAGAGAAGAATATAGAATCGGAGAGTCCTAGAGTTGGGAGACACCTGGTGGGCCATCCAGGCCAACCCCATTCTGTGAAGAAGAAGGAAAATCACATTCAAAGCACCCCCAACAGATGGCTACTCAGCCTCTGTTTCAAAGAGGCTTTTTTGAGTGTTTTGAGTGAATATAACTGAAAAGCCTTGCAGCTTCAGTGGCTGCTTCTCATTACTTTATTTTCCATACCACCTTGCACCTTAACAGCCTGGCTTCTACTAGCCAGCAGGAAACCTTTGGTGGGAGGAGTTCCCTAGTCCAGATTGCAATGCGTGGCTGGGTACAGCTAGTCTGTCATAAATGTGCTCACATGAAACAGGTGAATATAGCACTAAATGAGACATGTAGAATAATCACAGGATATCTTAAACCTTCACATGTTAATAGGCTCTATAAGCTAGCTAGCATTGCCTCCCCCCCCCCCCCAACGTGCAATGGGAAGTTGCTACCAATTGTGAGAGAAATAAGGTTGAACACTGTGAAAGCCACACACTATATGGCTATCAGGCTTCTCCCAGTAGAATTAAATCAAGAAAAAGTTTAATAAGAACCATCACTCCTCTAAATGTTCCTCCAGCATTAGCAGGAATATTTCTGTGAGCAGAAAAATCAGGCAATTCCAACCGGATGACCCCCCACGAGAGCCTTCGTCCAGGGGCAAATCAAGAATGGGCAAGTTGGAAGAACAGACTCAGAAGTGGAGTGGGCAGATCAAGAGACAACCTGACAAAATGGCACTACCTAGAAGTATCCTCCACCTTGTGTGACTGTGGAGCAGAACAAACAACTCCGCATCTGTATGCTTGTCCACAATGCCCTGCCTCATGCACAGAGGAAGAATTGTTTAAAGCTACAGACAATGCAGTCACTGTTGCCCGTTTTTGGTCTAAAACTATCTAGCAGCTTGTGATCCCTTTGTCTTATTGGTTTTAGATAAACTATGTCATTCAATGCTTTTTACACGAAATGAAAAAAAAATGACATGTCCAAACTATGACGGTATTTAGTTATCTCTGCTTCTGGGAAGATTTCCGACTTCTGTTTGCTTTTGAACCTATTTACTTGTCTTTTTGGTAGTCCAGGGATATTTGGAATTTTGTCTAGTTCTTTCATTGTTGCCCTCCCAAGACTAGTCTTCTGATTTCTTGCCTGTACAAATGCACCATGATTAATTGTAGCAGGAGTATTTACTCTTGATTTTTCAACACTTTTTTGTTACAATTCAGAATTGGAATGGATATAATTGACACTGTTACTACTTAAACCCATATAAAAGATACTCAACACTGAAGGTGCAAAATATTTTTATTGTGGTATCAAAGACAAACAAACAATCCAACACTGGTTGGGTGCATAATTGTCTATTTCCTTTGCTGCACCTGAATGTGCTTTGATGCAGCCCACTCTTCTTGAAGTAGCTGAATGGCATGCATCTGAAACAGCAATAATTAAATCAAATTCAGTCCCCAACAGCACATCAAAAACAAGGAAAAGATATGGGTGTGTGTGTGTATGTGTGTGAATAGTTCCACAAAACAGTTTACATATATCAAAAGGTAGGTGGGAGTGTAGTCAGATACAGAGAGGTTGGTCAGAAAGCAGTGTAGATGGAGAGAGAAGACAGAAGTTTGAGAAGCAGGAGGAAGGAACACATATCTGTGTTTGGTCTCCTTTTGAATACTAAAGTTTATGTAAAAGTTTTTGACCTTGAAACCAGTGTCATTCCATTAAATCATTTTAATTTATAGGCTGGCTCTTAAAGTACCATCTTTATTGCCAGTGAATCACTTGTATTGTACATACTCCAAGGAGCTAGAACATTGTTGTAATTCATAAGCATCAGTATGATAATTGAACTCCCAACTAGATTGATACCCTAGAAATGTGTGCCTTTGTTTTCACCCATATAGGAAGTTGTTTTAAAGCTTGCATCTTCTTATTCTAAGTAATTACATTTCTGTTTCTGTGTGCTAGTGTGCAAATAAATATCCATGGCATTTCTAAGTTAGTAATGCAGTTTCTATCACACAACTTCCTGCTCTTAAGTTTGTTGTATTCTTCATCTCCTTCCTATAATTATTTCTTTTATTTAGAAGTTCTATAAGCTCCAGAAGTTCCTTTCTGACTGAATATATAGTGGGTTGCTGTGAGTTTTCCGGGCTGCATGGCATTCTCTCCTGACGTTTCACCCACATCTATGGCAGGCATCCTTAGGTTGTGAGGTCTTTTGGAAATTAGGCAAGCGAGGTTTATATAACTGTTGAATGCCCAGGTTGGAAGAAAGAACTCTTGTCTGAGGCAAGTGTGAATGTTGCAAATGGCCACCTTGATTAGCATTTAATGACCTTGCAGCTTGGCTGGTTGCTGTCTGCAGAATCCTTTGTTCGGAGGTGTCAGCTGGCCCTGATTGATTTTTGTCTGGAATTTTCTTGATTTTTAAATGCTGCTCTTTATTTACTGTCCTGATATTAGAGGTTTTTTTTTTAATACTGGTAGCCAGATTTTGTTCATTTTCATGGTTTTCTCCTTTTTTGTTGAAATTGTCCACATGCTTGTGTATTTCAATGGCTTCTCTATGTAGTCTGTCATGGTAGTTGTTAGAGTGGTCCAGCATTTCTGTGTTCTCAAATAATATGCTGTGCCCAGGTTGGTTCATCAAGTGCTCTGCTATAGCTGACTTCTGCAGTGCCTTTCATGTTCCTTGATTTGTGTTTGGGCTGTGTTTGGTGGTCCCTATGTAGACTCGTCCATAGTTGCATGGTATCCAGTAGACTCCTGCAGAGGTGAAAGGATCCCTCTTGTCCTTTGCTGAACATAGCATTTGTTGGATTTTCTTATGTCAGGAGAGAATGCATCTGGAACATGGCCATACAACTCACAGAAACGGAAAACTCACAGCATCCCAGTGATTCCAGCCATGAAAGCCGTCAACAACACTCTAAATATATCGTTTTCTCATTATTAGTTTATACAAGCAAAATACTGCGATAACTTGATCAAAGTGCGGGTGACTAGAGTATTCTTTCTTTTTTTAAAGAATAATGTGGTTTTATGAGAGGAAAATACATAACACCATGGTAACTCTTTGAAATCTGTTTTATTGTATTGTTTTAAATAGACGCAGTGAAATTAAAGGGGGTGGGCTTGTTGTTAGATCTTGAAAGCAGTGAGAAAAATGCTTTGTTCAGCATCTGCATGGGAGTAAAATAATTGGGATGAACCCTAGGGGAGAAGCAGAAAGTTGTTGGAACTTTCTGCTAGGAGGGAACAAGTCACTTAATTAGATTTCCTTTCTTGCATGTGGTGAATTCGTCAAGGGAAGAGAGGAAGGCAGACAGCTAGGCCCCTTCCACACATTTTTATTCACATTCAGACAATGTGAATAAAATCCCACATTGTCTGCTTTGAACTGGAATATATGGCAATGTGGACTCAAAAAACCCAGTTCAAAGCAGATATAGTGGGATTTTCTGACTTGATATTCTGGGTTATGTGGCTGTGTGGAAGGGTCCATAGATGGTATAGCTGACCATAATGGGCAGTCAGTTGCTGAAGGCTTGCCAGGAAATCAAAGTCTTTGCCTATTGATAGAAGGACAAGAGGAAGGGAATATCCTAATCTGATCGTGGGCCGTGAGAAGACTCTCTTGGATGTCTGCACCAGACACACCTCTGAAGGTGGTGGGACTGAGATAAGGACCTCTTATCTCAGTCAAGTCACTTAATTGTAGATGAGCTTTTATGGGCGAATATGGTTTTCTCAGTCAGCTTGAACCCAAATCGTATAGGGTGTTATAGATCACTGCTTCTTAAACTGTAGGCCCTTACTCCAGTCTTGGATATTTATTCAAAATTACAATATAAAATATTTATGCTTTCTGATTTTTTATTTATATGATATAAATGCTTCATCAATTTAAGAAGAAGCCTGTAAATCAACATTCTCCTTCTAAGAGTCAATTTTGCCTATAGTGCATTTTCTGTGTTTACCCTTTCACTCTCTGGGATGACTTTGTGTTCCATTTTCATTTCAGGTTTTTTTCAGATGACTGTTCCATGAATGACAGGGAGCTCTCTGTGATTCAGTTTATATTCCGAAGAAATTAGGATAGGTTGGTAGAGTATTGGGGGTGGGGGCAAGGGAGCTTTGGACACCATTTATTTATTTATTTATTTATTTATTTATTTATTGTGTCAGAAGCAAATTGGGTACAGTTATAATATGCAGAGGATGTCAATGCCTTGGTCCTTTCATTACAGGCTGCTACTTCCCGATGGATCTCAGGTGGTGCAGTACTGGCTTTGGTCACTTCCGATAACTGCTGTTCTCTTTTAAGATACCTTTAACTGCTAATTATTGTTGTGTTTCCTACAGGAGGTCAGTTTGTGTTTTATAACATAGCTGTTGTTTCAGTGAGGTGGCTTTTAGTGTATTCTAGTTTATGGTGGTCCTATCATGGCGTTTTCTTGGCAGGATTTAGCCTCTCTCTGGGAGAGTATGACTTGCCAATGCCACCCTGTAGGTTTCCATTGCTTCTTAAACCTTTCCACTTGGGATCCCTTTTGGCTCGAGAAAGTTTTACGTGTGTCCAGGTATATGTGTATATAAAATAGGTGTAAAACTCAGACATTTATTGATAACAAATCAGCATTTGAAAGGCTTCCTGAACAGGCTGAGTTTCCTTTTTATGAAATACAGCAGCAGCATCTTCTGCAGAGTCCACTAGAACAGGCACTAGGTGATGTTCAGAAAACTTTCAGTGTTGCCATTTTTTGGAACCTCAACATTTATTGATTTATTTACTGTAGTTTTACCCTGCTCTATGTCAATCCTTGATAAAACAGTGAAGAGTAGAGACATCACACTGGCAATGAAGATCCGCATAGTCAAAGCAATGGTATTCCCCATAGTAACCTACGGATGTGAGAGCTGGACCATAAGAAAGACTAAGCAAAAGAAGATAGATGCTTTTGAACTGTGGTGTTGGAGGAAAATTCTGAGAGTGCCCTGGACTGCAAGAAGATCCAACCAGTCCATACTCCAGGAAATAAAGCCCGACTGCTCATTGGAGGGAAGGATATTAGAGGCAAAGATGAAGTACTTCGYCCACATCATGAGAAGAGAGGAAAGCTTGGAGAAGACAATAATGTTGGGGAAAATGGAGAGAAAAAGGAAGAGGGGCCGACCAAGGGCAAGATGGGTGGATGGGATCCTTGAAGTGACTGGCTTGACTCTGAAGGAGCTGGGGGTGGTGACGGCCGGCAGGGAGCTCTGGTGTGGGATGGTCCATGGGGTCACTAAGAGTCGGAAGCGACTGAACGAATAAACAACAACGTCAACCCTGAAGGGGACTCAGAGCAGCTTCCAAATTGGCAACATTCAGTGCCACACTAAACATAAACATACAATACAGAATACATTATACATTAAAATCAATAAAATCATAAAATTGTAACATATCAAAACATTAAAATAGAGTATTAAAACAACATAAGACTCAAAATCATGATCCAGGAGCCATTCCAATTGCGGTATAATCACTTAATAGCTGCCTACTGCCCTGTGGTACTCTCCAAACGCTTGGTTCCGCAGCCAGGTTTTTAGTTTCTTTCAGGAGAGAGGGAGCTGATTTAATTTCACTGGGAAGGGAGTTCCATAGCCAAGAGGCCGTTACTGAGAAGGCCCTGTCCCTCGTCCTCACCAACTGCACCTGCAAAGGAGGTGGGACTGAGAGCAGGGCCTCCACAGAAGATTTTAACATACAGGGTGGTTCATAGGGGGAGAAATGTTTGGACAAGTATGCTGGCCCAGAACCGTTTAGGTCTTTATAGGCTAAAGGCATCACTTTGAATTGTGCTTGGTAGCAGATTGGCAGCAAGTGGAACTGATGCGGTGGAGGTGGGGTGGGGGGGGGGGGTCGTATGCTCCAGTGAGCTAAGGGGACCTCATCTTGGTTCAGGGCATACAGTTTAAGAAGCAGTGACCTGGAGTATGTTGGAGGTTGGCAAGAAATGTGAACATGATTTTGGCTGCTAGTTCTACCTTTTAGCTGTACAATTTGTGCTGACTTTAGAGCAAGTACCACAATAAATGTATGTTGTGCTAACTTTGCTGTTAAAAGCACTATTATTTCCTTTTAAGCACTACTTTTTCGCTTCTTCTTTATGTAACTGGTTAAGAAACAACTTGAGATTCTAGAAAAGGTGTTTATATGTACCATCACCATGAACATTTTCATTTTAGCTTTATGTTTGTTTTTTGCCTTTAATCTCAGAAATTAAAACTGTTTTTTCTTTTCTTTTTGGCAGGCTGAAAAATGAAAAGGCTGTTCGTCTCAGCGTTGTAGGTAAGGGTGAAAAATTACTTCCAAGCTTTGCAGAATGAACTTTTCATAACAAATCGGAGCTCTTTTAAGTTTCTGGGAGATGGTGGCCTATATAATGTAACATCAGCCTGACTTTATGAATGGTACTGAATTCAGTGCTACTGCTATCTTCTAGTTCCTTTTGATGTCTGCGTGTCTGCAGTACCATGGGCAACTTGTTGTAATTTCTCATACAAAGAGTATTCAGTCACACTTGGATAGTTAAAGATATTAGGTTTTCAACATCAAATCTAATGCATATATAGTGGAAATGTGATAGAGAGAGAGAAAGATGAAAGAAGGGGGAGATAAAAAAGGAGCGGGGATTTGAGGACAAAGAGACAGAAGTTTTAAGAAGCATAAGCATTCAATGCTTATAAAGATCTGGCCTAGCAATTTCCACATCATACATCATCATATGATTCTGGATTCATTTCATAGAGAACTGAGCTACTTTTATTATTTGCAGTCCATTCTGTGGTTCGCAACTAACAAATATGGGGAGCTAGAGCTGACAGATGGGAGCTCACCCCGCTCCCTGGATTTGAACCTCTTACCTTTCGGTCAGCACTCCTGCCAGCAAAAGGGTTTAACCCATTGTGCCACTGGGGGCTCCTTCACTCTTGGGAGTAAATCCCACTGAATGCAACAAGATTTATTTCTCAATAAGCATGAACAGCATACAATCCTCTCTTTGCTTCCAGCCAATAGCATCTTGGCTCCGAGTCGAAATCCTATGAGTATATGCCTGGAAGCTATGCACACTGAACTTGATCGAATTTACTCCCAAGTAGACATGTATAGGAAAGAGAGTAATTATGCAGAGTGTCCTGCTATGTTGATACATCAGGAAAGCAGCCATACTGCCTTAGGGGGATGGTATGAGCATACGACTTAGAAGGTTACATCAAAGGACCAGAACCAGCTGCTTAAAACACCATTTCTGCTTAAGAATTTCAAACAAGCATCTACTGGAGAAAGATCATTTTGATACTCAGATCTTTTCCCCCAATTATGCAAAAAACTTCAGATGTAAATAAAATTACACATAGTTAGGAGAGGGGAAAATCCAACATTTTCCTTCACTATTATATTGCATTGTCTTTTAGTGAGTTGGGATATGTGAAGGCATAATTTTGTTTGAGAAGCCTGCCACACACAGCTGAATTGAGGTAGCCACAGATGTTCTTGTAAAATATATGCATTTATGGAAAAAAAACTGAGTGAGAGGCAAGAGAAAATAACAGAAAGCTGTTGTTTTGTATTACTTCAAACCTTTTCAGACCATGCCATAATTCAGAGATTGGCTGACTAGCAAATCAAGCTATTATTGTTGCTTCCAATTGTTCTTTTCAAGCTGGAGTTACTATCCCCCTCCTCCACCACCACCACCAGTACAACCAGCAGTTGCTCCAAGTGGACTGGCTGTTGTGGAACTGAGCCTCATCTTTCCATAGAAAACAAGAAAATGTACGAGCGAGGAGGAATAAATTGGTGTAAATTGGTTCTTTCTAAAATCAAATTAAATTTGACTATAACTTGAAAAGCACACTGCTATCAGAAAACAAAGGTTAACTATTTTTCAGGCAATCCAAGAAAAACATTTCTGAGGAATCAAAAAAACTATTTTCTACGGTCACGAAACAGAATGGATGATTGCAACGTTTTGTCAATTGCTTCATTATCCATCAAGAAAAAGCCTTCAATACAAAGCAGCACGAAGCTATTTAGAACAAATCTCCAAATGAGGCACATGCATCTTAGATCACAGGAAAAGAGACAGGTGAATTATTGGTTTGCAAATCCGTTCTGTTGGATAATTTAAAGCTTTCAGAACCAGACCCAAGGAGATTTTATGACACTTTTAAGCAAGATATTTTGATTCTGTATTTTTCCAAAGTGGGAGTATCAACAGTCACTATTCTCCATGACAATATTTTTAATGATCAGTCGTAAGGGAAAGGAGGCACTAGCATAGTGGAGCCTCTGGTGGTGCGATGGGTTAAACCCTGACAGGTTGGAGATTTGAATCCGGGAGCAGGATGAGCTCCCACCTCAGCTCTAGCTTCCCATGTGGAGACATTAGAGAAGTCTCCCACAGGATGGTAAAACATCAAACATCCAGATGTCCCCTGGACAGCGTCTTTGCAGATGGCCAATTCTCTCATGCCAGAAGTGACTTGCAGTTTCTCAAGTGGTTCCTCTTGACACGAAAAAAAAAATCCCAATAAAAGCTAAATAACAGTGTGCTCTTAATCTCACTTCATAGAACTCATTTCACAAACGTATCGACCTTGGTAATGAATTCTAGCATCTGTGACCAGTATAGCAGCATATTGAAATGTGTGTTCTGTGATGTTGAGCAGATGAAACATTTAGCTGTTTCCTGTCGTATCAAGCGTATATTATCAAGTTTTTAATAGTATGGTGATGACCACTGGTCTTTCAGAATTATACAATAAGCAAAGCTTCTATCCTTGATTCATCAATGCTGTCTGTACAAACAAAGCCCATTCTAGATTCTGTTGTTTGTCTTGAAAAAGGCTGAAGAAAACAGTGTCTTTGCTGCATTTCTTTCCTTCCAAACATCAGGAATTTGGTTTGTTTACATTTAAGGTCCAGGTTACATTTTCTAAGAGAATTTAGAAAATTTTGTTGATTTTCATTAGCACAGCCACACCAAGTTTCCTAGACCAAGAATCTCCTTTTTGTTTTGCTGAGCAAAATCAAAAGTGGTTGTATGGTTTGGTTTCCAAGGTTTAGTCCAAGAATTAAACTTTATTCTGACATTCAAGATGTCTCTGGAGTGTTTCTCATGTGTTAAACTGTTCTTTCCCCCAAATAATTGTATGTACTGTGTAGCTGAAATAATGGACACAAGTTTAAATTTACCTGTGTGACATTTTAGATTTATTAAGCATCTGGGGCTTAAATTAGGAATGCGCAGATGTTCATAGCTGCCTTAGCCAGCAGAATCAATAATGAGGAATGCTGGGAGGTGTAATTTAACACTCTCTGTTGGGTCCCACAATTTCTGTCCTTGGCCTATATTGCCAAATGTGGACTTATAAAGTCCCTGATTAAAATTGGTCAATTCTATTTGAGACTAGCAATTGGGTTTCGCTTCAGGCAAGTTCTGTGGCTTTTATATGCCTGTTTATGTTCACTTTTGTAGGTGAGAAATTGCTTTGGTTTCAAAGTCACCTTGACCCCAACAGAATGGAATATACTAAACAAGACGCCTGTGAACTATTAGAAAGGTAAGTTTGCTACAGATGGGTAAATTGGAAGTAAGAACAATTGACTAATATTCTCTCTTGAAAATGTTGTGGTTGGGATGCCTTAAATGTACACATGTTTATGTGTTTTGTGTACAAAAACTGTATTTTTATATTGTTGTGGTGTTTATTGACTTAGCTGTATTTTAAAATCCCATAGCTGCAATCAGGGCTGTAGCCAAGTGGGGAGGGTTTAGGGGTTCAACCCCCCCCTCCCAAATTTTTCAGCTTCGAAAAAAAATCTGGCTTACTCATGAATTTGAACTGGTTAACCAAATCCCCATGCTAAGTCTATGAGAAGCAAAAATTAAACGAGTCCCTCCAAAACTGCAAGCACTATCTCAAGCAAACTTTTGACAATTTGTTCACATTGTTATGACTTGCAACAATAGCCAAGATAGTGGAAGCAACTAAGTTGGCCCACCCATAACTGGCAGGCAAAGCCTAAGGCATGTGGGGGGATTTGCAGGCCCTCATGAAGGAGACCAGATTTGGTGGGGGCGGTTGACAGGGGCGGAGTTGGAGGTTATTTAAGGCTGATCTACCCCTCTACTGTGCTCTTTGCTTCAGCATGAGGTAGGAGGAACGTTTTTAATGGGGAATTAGGCCTTTCCCTCCTTGCTCTCCCCAACTTTTCCAGATAGTAGGGTTCCCATTGCTATGCCCATATAAGAAACACAATGGGTCAAGAAAGATTGACTGAATTTGCACTCTCGAATGTTCACTGAAGTTTATCAGTGGAGCCTGGTTTCTGTCAAAGTGTATTGACACAGTTTTCAAGTGTTTCCAACAGACGTTGTGGTACTCAATAACAACAACAACAACAACAATCATTATCTTTATTTATACCCGCCAAAGGGGACTCGGGGCAGCTAACATGAGGCCAAGGCCAGAATTACAATACAGCAAAATAAAATACAACAAAGCAAAATTAACATCAAAATAAGATACATAAAATAGCAAAATAAAATAAACAGTTACAAAATAACGAGATAAAGAAATTGAACACGATGGGCGTGCCAAATGCACAGGATAAAAATTGATAAAACCCTAGATGAGATAGTAGTGGGAGAATATCTTTCTGAGGGAGGAGCTCAAAAGAGGTGAACAGTGGTGTTAGGCCTTCATTAAGGATAAGGGAAAGTGCATCATGAGGACAGAACTGTAGTTGGAACAGACAAGATATCGGATATATGTTCACTCGCCAATTATCAGTCATTTTCAGTCATTCTAAGTTATTTTAAGACTTGAAACTTTGTAACTAAAACAGAAAATTTTAGAACGGTCTTTTATATGTATTTTATAACTTATTTATTATGTATGTTGTTTTTAAAATGTTATTTATTGTGTAGCATTGACTTTTTGCTGTTGTTAGCCGTTCTGAGTCCCTCCACGGAGGTAGAAAAGAATGTGGAAGTTCCAAATAAATAAATAAATAAATAAAATTGATTTAATTAAGTCAATATAAAAATATAGATTGAACAATACTATTTAAATTATTTTGTGTTATGGAAATACTCTTCATGATTTGCTAAAAAAAATTCCACCCCCTCCACCCCCATTTTTTTCTGGCTATGGCCCTGGTTGCAATACTACATAGTGCAGAAGTACCACACTCAAAAGTTTGCTACTCCCAACCTGTCTTAGAGCAGCTCAAGCTTCCCCCATTTGTATCTGGAGGAAATTGGTGTTTGTGTGAGCGTCTATGTAGCCAGATGAAAAGCATTTAGGAGATGAAGTCCTAGTAATCATTTTGTATTCTACAATAGGGGTATAGCAAGATGCCTATGTGATACACCCCACTGCCTTTCAGTGACAAATGGCTGTGGTTGTGGGACTTCAGGTTGTCTATGATAGGTGGAGGAGGGAACTTCATAGCTGTGAAGGGAGAAATACCAACCAAAAATAGATGTGTACAGGTATAGGGTTAAAATAATAATAATAACAATAATAATAATAATAATATACTTTATTTATATAGAGTTAGCTTTGACCTGCTTATTCCACTTATATATGGTTAATTTCATAATGCATTAGCTAAGTGTTGCATTAAAGGCATAAGGCAACAAAATAAGTAAAGCACATTTATATATTATTTTTTCACTAACAACCCTAATTAGAAAATATGTTTGGAGGCGCATCACATTTTCCTGTAATTAGTTTGTATATGAGTTTCTTAGCATATGATCTGTAGAAATTAAAAGGATTAATGTTGCTACGATGCCGTTATGCTGTACTCAGCCTCTCCAAATAGACCTCAGCTTTGGAGATAATTGTTATTAGCATCTACTGTTAGGGATGTTTCTATGTTGACTCCAGAGGCTGTGTAAAAGAAAACGCAAGGCTGTAAAATTTGAACAAATCAGTTTCCAGCAATGCAGTTTTATTTGTGTTTCAGTTATTTGCAACGATTCTGTGATGAACTGGAACAGATTGAACTGCGGAATAGCATTAAAGGAAGGAAAGCAAGACAACACAGTGCTAGAGAAACATTCATCAGACAGACTATGGAACGTGAAAGGCAGTTATACGAAGGATACGGACTAGGTATGACTATTACTTGCTCACCGTACTAAATAAGAATATCTCTACATCCGTTAGGAATAATTTCTTGTTGGTAAATCAGACCTCTGTACCGGACAACTAGGAATTGGTTTTCTGCTTTAAGAGCTTATTTTTCAGTCTATAATAGTTTTTCTTACCTTCATTTCTCCTTTCCCAAGGGCTTCTTTTTTCCTACAGATGCTCATTACATGAGTATCACCTTTGCATGGATCAGAGATTGGAAAATTGTGTGTGTGTGTATATATATATATATTGCAGTTACAACTCCTAGAAACCTCTTGGCCATATGGTCAATGGCTATTCTGACTTACTGTATATAGAGTATAAGCTGACCATAATATAAGCCGAAGCACTTAATTTTACCACAAAAAACAGAAAATATATAGACTCGTGTATAAGCTGAGGGTGGGAAATGCAGCAGCTACTGGTAAATTTCAAAATAGAAGGAAAAATTACATTAATTGAGGAATCAGTAGGTTAAATGTTTTTGAATTTAAGATAAGACTGTCCAATTCTGATTAAACCGTTATTCTAACTTACTTCAATGTAAATGTGTTTACATATCATTCCAATAATAATGAGAGTAAAATAATAAATGTAATAATAATAATAATAATAATATAATGGAAATGTAATAATAACAGTAATAATAAATAATAAATGTAACAATAATAATAGAAAAAAATAATGTAATAATAACATTGAGAAAAATAATAAATGTAATAGTAATAAAGTAAAATAATATAAATGTAARAATAATAATAATAATAATAATAATAATAATAATAATAATAATACAACAGTGTAAAATAATAAATAACATTGACTTGAGTATAAGTCGGGGGGGGGGGGATTTTTCAGCCTAAAAAAGGGCTGAAAAACTTGGCTTATACTTGAGTGTATACGGTATACATATATCCCCACCTTTTTGCAAGTATGATATTCAAGGCAGCTAGGACCTTCTTGGGAGCTATGTAGAAAAATAACTATTCTAAGCTAATACTACTTCCACTAACCATGCCATAAAAATGGTTTTGAGGTTTTGTTGGAGGAACCCGGTGAATAAAAATTGAGCTATATAGACTCCTTTAATTTTTTGACAACTGTGGTATAGCAGAAGTTGTCCCAACCTGATGCCTTCCATATAACTTTGAAGGTGCATGTTGAACTTTCTTTATTAACAGTTTTAGGGTTAGCTTTCCCATGCAGTCTAGGCCTTTAATGGACATAATTGCAGATAGAATCATAGAGTTGGAAGAAACCACATGTGCCATCTAATCCAATCCCTGATATCCAGGAAAAGTGCAATAAAAGCACCTCCAACAGATGACCAACTTCTGTTGCAAAGCCTCCAAAGAAGGAGCTTCCACAACACTCTGAGGCAGAGAGTTCCATTGCTGAACAGTTTATATGGTCAGGAAGTTATTCCTAATGTTGAGGTGGAATTTCCTTTTCTGTAATTTGAACCAATTGCTTCAAGTCCTATTTTCCAGGGCAGCAGAAAACAAGCCTGCTCATTCTACCTTATGACAGCCCTTCAAATATTTAAATATGGTGATCATGTCTCCTCTTAACCTTCTCTTCTGCAGGCTAAACAGACCCAGCTCTAGCTGCTCCCTGTTTGCAAAAAGAATTTGTATGTGAGATTACCCTCAAATTGGTTGTTGACAGTGCCTGTGTTTTCCCATTAAGCTATGGGTTCTTGAACCTGAATCTCCCAAGTCCAGTCCAACACATGAGGAAACTCTGACCTCACTGGCTCTCTGGTCATTGCTTGAAATGGCATGTTTAAAAGTCAACAATATATTACCATATTAGAGGGCCCTGTTGTGTTTCTGTTATATTTTTGTGTTACTTACTTCCAGCCTCTATATTTTTATTGTGAAAGGTTCCAGCACAAATTTCAGGGATTGCAGCAAAACAAAATCAAAACTTGCCTTGATGTTTACAAAGTTGAATTTTGTATAGAAAATCTTGCTTGGCTTTCCTTTGTTGAAAGGTGACCTAATCATTCATGCCTTGTTAGAGCCACTGCTATGGATGCATGTAGAATCTGTAAACTAAGATTTCAATTGCAGTGAGATGCTGTAATTAGGGATGTCGATTTAAGGCCCGCTAGTCCCCTGGAATGTGTATCTAATAGCATTCAAAGCCCTCTGTGGCACTAGGAAGCACTTCTCCCTTTTCCTTAATGAAAGACAATCTCTGTAGACTTGATTTAACTAGGCTTTTTCTTGGTGACGGTAAAGTTTTGCTTCTGTTTTGTAAGGGGGAAAACAGACTATGTGGATTTGTAAAAGCAAGGAAGTAGTTGAGCTTGTGTGTGTTGTTGAGCAGTGAGCAGAGCATCACTATAGGAACCATTCACTCAGTTCTGTTTGTTCATAAATGAAGTTCAGCTTAAATAGAGTAACCAAGTCAATTAGTAAGCGGTAAAAACAGTATCTTTAAGATCAGAAAGGCGACAGGGGCTTGAAGCTTGTTAAAAAGGAATGAAGTTTCTCTTCAAGTTTTTCAAAAGGGAATAGAGGTAATGCTTCCCTGGGTTTCTCTATTTGTTCTGTGATGCAGCTATACAAATTTTCCTGTTTTTGGCAATGGTGGCAGCTTTTTGCTATCCATACTAACCTTCACTTGAGGTTTCTTTTACTCCAGTTTGTTCATGACAAAAATGGATAGAATCATAGAAGAAAGTGGAAAGTTAAAAAATGGTATGGTTACCTAGCAGATTTTATGCTTCAGGACATCTCTGAAAGAAGAGCCAAATATACATCATGCCAAATCAAGAAGACCTGGCTTCAGAAATTGGGAAAATTGATAGAAATAGTCAAAGGAAAAGAAAGATATAAAGAACTGAACCATTCTCTTTCCATGATTGCTCAATTAAAATAATATTTGAATGAAGATGAGTACTGTTCCCAGAGAGTGGGGTGAGGGGAGGGGAGGGGAAGAGGGGTGTAAACTTGATAGACACAAGTCGGAGATAAAGGTGGAATAGATAAGAACACGGTGAAAACAATATTTGATATGTATTTGAAAATGGTGATGGATTGTGATGTCATTCTACCTGTGTCTGCAATAAAAACATATATGAAAAAATAATAGAATCATAGAGTTGGAAGAGACCTTGTGGGCCCTCCAATCCAACCTCCTGCCAAGAAGCAGGAAAATTGCATTCAAAGCCCTCCTGACAGATGGCCATCCAGCCTCTGCTTAAAAGCTAAACATGCCCAACTCTTTAAGCCATTCCTCATAGGGCTTGTTCTCCAGACCCTTGATCGTTTTAGACGTCCTCCTCTGGACACATTACAGCTTGTCAACATCTCCCTTCAATTGCGGTGCCCAGAATTGGACACAGAATTCCAGGTGAGGTGTAACCAAAGCAGAATACAAAGACACCCTGACTTCCCTCAATCTAGACACTATACTCCTTTTGATGTAGCCCAAAATCCCATTGGCTTTTTTAGCTGCTGCATCACACTGTTGGCTCATGTTTAACTTGTTGTCCACAAGGATTCCAAGGATTTTTTCACATGTACTGCTCTCAAGCCAGGCATCTTCCATTCTGTATCTTTGCATTTCATTTTTTTCTGCTTAAGTAGAGTATCTTGCATTTGTCCCCACTGAACTTCATTTTGTTAGTTTTGGCCCATCTCTTTAATCTAATTTTCGCCCTACTCTCTAATTAAGATTGTTTTGAATTCTGCTCCTGTCTTCTGGGGTATTGGCTATCCCTCCCAATTTCGTTTCTGCAAACTCGATGATCATGCCTTCTAACCCTTCATCTAAGTCTTTAATAAAGATGTTGAACATGACCGGGCCCAGAATGGAACCCTGTGGCACTCCACTCATCACTTCTTTCCAGGATAAAGAGGAAGAATTGGTGAGCACCCTCTTGGTTCATTCGCTTAACCAATTACAGATCCACCTAACTGTAGTTTTGCCTAGCCCACAATTCACTAGTTTGTTTGCCAGAAGGTCATGGGGGACTTTGTCAAAGGCCTTACTGAAATCCAGATACACTACATCAACGGCATTCCCTGCATCTGCCTAACGTGTAACTCTCTCTCAATAAGAGATCAGATTAGCCTGGCATGATTTGTTTTTGATAAATCTGTGTTGACTATTAGCAATGACCGCATTCATTTCTAAGTGTTTGCAGACCACTTCCTTAATGATCTTTTCCAGAACTTGCTGGGTATCGACGTGAGGTAATTGTTTGGGTTGTCCTTTCTTCCCTACTTGAAGATAGGGACCACATTTGCCGCCCTCCAATCTGCTGGGACTTGCCCCGTTCTCCAAGAACTCTCAAGCTTCCACTAGTATAGACTTTCATATTGCTCTCTTGGTAGACTATAGCCCTCCTCCAGCAAATGTGACACATCAGACCCAGAACTATTCCAGTTGAGCTTACTTGGTTCAGATACTCTGATCCCAACTATTGCTATTCTCAGTTTTCTTTGAATGTTGAAAGTGTTCCCCATCTTGCTTCACTACAGATTTCCCGGCTTCCCTTAAACTAAAACTAAAACCAGATCTAAATATAAGGCATTATATTTATGGGGTGTTGTGTGATTTCCAGGCCGTTTGGCTATGTCCTGGTAGCATATTTTCCTGATATTTTGCCTGCATCTGTGGCTGGCATCTTCAGATGCAGGTGAAACTTCAGGAGAAAATGCTGCTAGAACACAACCATACAGCTGGGAAACCACACAACACCCCAGTGATTCTGGCCGTGAAAGCCTTCAACATGATACTTATATTTATCGTCAAATTAACGTTCTGCATATTGTTATAACATCCTACCGATGTTCAAAAATGAAGGTCAAAGAGAGTATTCTTTTTCCAGTGTTGCTTTATTTCCACATTTTTAGCTCAAGAACAGTACATGAGCTATTTCAGGGCCAATTTTCTCTTCAAAGAAGTAGTAAATTAGATTTAATGGTGCTATAAGTGGTATTGAAAGTTGCTGAACTTTTAAATTGTGAGCCTGCAGCCAAATACAATCTAGTTATTACTAATCCTATGGAAGTAGTTTTGGATGGGAAGTTTGTTATGATTTATTTAAGTAGATAAGGTGAAAAAACGGGAACATACGAAAAATGTTGTCTGTAACACCATGACATCTGTAACATCTGTAAAAAATAAGAAATTGGCAATAATATCATCACTGCTAGAAATGATTAGACATGGAAGCTGTAGGATATACCATAGTTTTTATTGCTACACACCTGTTTGAAGATGTGATAGACATATAGAGAAATAAAGAATTAAGCCAGTTGTATGAATTTTTAAAAGCTCTCAAAATGCCAATCCTCACCTAGCAGCATATATTCATTTTCTAATTTATAGATTCTGGTGTTTCCTTAGTAATTTTCATATGTTCACAAAGTGCAGATAATTTTTCCTTTTAGAATTCCTTCCTCCAAAAAAGTAACATCCAAAGATCTGTACATTCTTCACGGAAACCATTTGGGTTGTGCTTTCTTCTAGGCCACAAACGTTTGGAGTGTATGGTTCATTCTTGTTTATACTGTTGACGCCAGAAGCCACTAACCTCTAAGTGTCTAATCTAACACCTAGGATTTTTGTTTCCAACAGAGATTCCTGACATTGTGAACTCCAAGCACCTTAAGATGTTCAGGTGAGTTATTACCTCATCCTTCATCCAGCAACTATTTTAATAAAAATCAGGTACATAGTTTTTTTCTAAGATATGTCTGAAAAAAACCAAGTAGGACTTGATTTCTTTTTTCAAAGATTAGTTTAGAAGTGCTAAACTGTATTTTGGAATTGGAAATTGTTGTTATTTGGGGTATTTTGTGATGTGCTTGGTCATGTGTAGCACCACAGCAGCCTTCATCCATGTCCTTTAGATGTGCTGTGTTATGAGAACTTTACCTATGGTCGTCCTAACTCAGCCTTTCTCACCCTGTGGGATGGGACTCCTGGGGGGTCACAAGGGGGTTTCAGAGGGGTTGCCAAAGACTATATTTTTGATGGTCTTAGGGAACCCCTTTTGTAGAGAAGACTGAAGATCTCTCCGCCTGTCCTTCTCGGCCTCCTCCTGGTGTGATTGGCTGGCCTCTCAGCCAATGGGAAGGCTGTTTCTGAGATTACAAGCAGGGAGGGGAGAGCAGGCGTGCTTGGCGCATGGCAGCATGGTGTGCATGTGAGGGCAAGGGAGAGCTTGTGAGGCTAGAGGGAGGTTCACACCTGCGAGTCCCTTCAAGGCATGGGGGTTCTGTGTGGGAAGTTTGACCTAATATAACTTAGTTCTGCTGACACTTTTGTGTTTTTTCCCCCTCCCTCCCTCCCTCCCAAACCCATGCCACAATTTCCATTAGAACTCCATCCATGAGCTCAGCTTTTCCCATCTATGTACAATATTTACATTGGCTTCACCTCTTTTTATCAATTCCGAATGTATCGACCATTTCTCTTTAATTTTCCTCATATTATCTTCCTTCTTATCCTCATAGGTTACATTGCTCATTTTGCTTTAGTCGAATTATAGTATTTAAAACAGTTTTCTTGGATACTTTTTATCATGGGCAAATTTCTCTTTAACACTATTTTTGTGTTTTGACTACAACTGACAGATTCCCATAGGAATTTGATTGCATGCCAAAGCTTTAAATAAATCTTTCTCCATCCAACCCCCCAGCCCCCCCCCCCCACACACACACACTTTTTGAAGACTTGCTTTGGACATTTTGCTGTTTGGGCAGATCTAAATTGTAGCCATGTTCTGCATTTTCAACATATAGTCAGCTTTTTCAACTGCTCCTGCTGCTTTTTGTGGCACACAGTTTTCTCAGTTGTCTTGCACCATCTAGTGTTTAGTCTTGCATTTGCAAGTTAAAAAACTCTGGCTTCCACTTTTTAGCTGATTCCATTTTCGGGCAGTCCTTAATCTGTTGCGGCTTCCTCGCAGTGGTTCTCATCCTGTGGGTCGCCAGATGTTTACGCTTCAGCTCCAACCTATCTTCAAGACCGCATCTTTTTCTATGAACCAGCGCAGGCTCTGAGATCAACACAGGAGGCACCTTTCTTGGTCCCACCACAGTCTCAAGCACAATTGGAGGGGATGAGAGAGAGGGCCTTCTCTGTAGTGGCTCCCCGGCTCTGGAATACCCTCCCAAAAGAGATTAGATTAGCCCCCACCTTTCAATCCTTCCATTTCAACCTGAAAACATGGATGTTCAGGCATGCCTTTGACCTTGAGTAGGCTGCATGGGCCCATTTGAAGCTGACACTTAGCACCTTGTGAATTGACAGCAGTTAATCTTTCATTGTTTTAAAATTGTATTATTTTGATTATATGCTACATGTGTTACAGGGGTTGTTACAATTTTATATGACTTGTTTTATACTTTTGTACTGTTTTTACCTGTGGTATGTTATATATGCACCTTGGAGTGCCGTGTAAACCGCCCCGAGTCCCTTCAGGGAGATGGTGGTGCGATATAAATAGAGTTTATTTATTGTTATTATTCAACTCCCAGAAATCTTAACAGCTGGTAAGCTGACTGGAAATTTTGGGAGTTGTAGGCCAAAACATCTGGGAACCCGCAGTTTGAGAACCACTGCTCTAAAGTCACTTCCCATACCTTACATACAAAGTTGTTCCAAAACAGCTTTGCTTCAAACTTAATAGGCCATTTCAAAAAAAGGGGTTTTTGAACCTGTTTTGCAGGTACCCGTGATAGAAAATTACAAATTAGAAGAATCAAAGTAGATGGATAGAGCCCAAAACAAGGATTGTATTACAAACTTTTCCCCCTTAAGGCCCTTGCTGTACGACTTCTGCTGTCATGTCACACTGCTAAATTTGCCAGAGGGAAAATTGGCATCAAGTAGTCTGAGCTTCACTGTGAACCTTCTACACCTTTGTGCACTACCATTTAAACTCAAGCTCGTGTCCTTTTAGGAGAAACTGATCCTGTTTCAAAGTTTGTAATCGAGTAATAAGATTCCTCATTTGTTGCCTTGCCTGTAGGTAGGCGAAAAAAGTTGAGCATTGCTTCAAGAATGTCTAGACTGGCAGAATGTCTAGACTGGCAGAATGGCTAGAAAAGTTTTCTAGTAGCAAGTTGTTTTTGCATTTTTATTTTACACATCAGAATACAGAGCAATGTTGGTTTGTTTTCAGGTAAGAGTTCAATCAGTGGAAGACCTTCCCAATCTATACATGTGCTGTCGCACCCAAGTTGCTTTAAATGTCTTTAGCATTAACATGTCCTAACTTTCTATCATCTTGGGGGATGCTGGATTACCTTCCTGTTTGAGCAAGGAACCGCACAGAATCAATGCCCATGCTATTGCTTTCAAGTAATGTTAATAGTTTATTGATTGATCTTGGGTCTGTCTCCACCCAGGCCCTAACTTGATCTCCCCACAACAAAGTCCATACTTAAAATTTGAAGGTAATTGGTTGTTCCTGAAGCTGCTAGTCATGGTGATTCCTGAGAATAGATGAAAGTTTTCCTTGCTCACTTTCTCTGGCGTAGGGGTCCCTGGGGTGCCCAATGCACAAGGTGTTAATTATTGGTTAATTGACTTGAAATGGCTTGTCCTGGGGCCCCCTGGTGGTGCAGCAGGTTAAAGCACTGAGCTGCTGAACTTCCTGACCGAAAGGTCGACAGTTCGAATATGGGGAATGGGGTGATCTCCCACCGTTAGGCCCAGCTTCTGCCAAGCTAGCAGTTCGAAAACATGCAAATGGGAGATCAGTAGGTACCGCTCCGGCAGGAAGGTAATGGCACTCCATGTAGCCATGCCCAGCCATATGACCTTGAAGGAGTCTATGGATAACGCTGGCTCATCGGCTTAGAAACGGAGATGAGCACCACCTCCCAGAGTTGGACATGGCTAAACTTAATGTTAGGGGGAAACCTTTACCTTTACCTTGTCCATCCTTGGATCTTGCTGTGACCAACTGCAGACACGTCTTGCTTCCAAGATTCACTGGTGGTAATAACTCTAATCTAAAATGCCTCCCTTTTCATAGGCAAAGGGGTGGGCAAACTTACTGATAGAAACCAGGAAGGGTTTTCTTAAACTCCACCCTCATAAAACTATAAGAAAAGTGACAACTCTGAAACTGTTGGTGAGGCAGCCTGACAAAAGGAGCTCGGACTTATACAGTTCCAGCGCAATACATATTTAGTAATGAATATTAATAAAAATCATTGTTAAAAAAGACATTGTCTAAATCACTTGTCATTTTATTACTTCCTTCAAAGAGACTGGGATGGTGACCTAAAGAAACTGCCAAATATTAAAATGAGAAAGATTACAAATCAAGATGCCTTATGCAGTACGATGGAGAAGACAAGTGAGGAAGCTGAAATAGACTTGAATGCAACCAAAACCACAGACTGAGGCATTCGCCTATACTCTAGATAAATGCCAGCTTCATCAAATTGCAAATATGCTTTTTAATATATGGAAATGAGGTCAAACCTCGCGGTAAGACATGACAAGTCTCATCATGTCCAAAGTGAAGCCCAGCACTGCACTTTGGTATTCAGGTAATGAATGATGTGAGATTCTGGACATGGTATATTATATTGTATTTTGAAGCACAATGTAAAGTTTATAAAGGTAAAAGAAATACTATTAAAATTCAAATTTGATGTTCCAGTGGCATAACCCTCCTCGGATTTTGGTCAAGTCATTTACAATCAGTGAAGGAAACAATGCAAATTGACCAGAGAAGAGACCTTAACTCCATAAGCAGGAACAGAAAACTTTGCTACTCTTTCATGTTTTGTAGTGTTCTGTCAAAGACTATTTTAATATTTCTTCAAGGAAATTAATTAAAATCAGAAGCACTGTGAAAATATATGCTTCACATTTAATTATGCCACAGTTCATTTTGTTCTTGAGAGGAATAAATTGATAATAATAAAAAAACAAGAATGCCTTAATTCATACGGTTATTTTCTGCAAATACATGGGTCCTTGAGTGGTCTTGGGACTCACAAGTTGATTTACTTGTTGGCAACCTTCTGTGAAGTACAATCCCAGGATGTATCACTTCAGCCGCATGATTCTACCCATCTGTTTTAAGTGAAGGCTTGTGCTGCCAAGCTTTTCTTGTTATTTTAATTAATCTTTCTTATTATTTATTTATTTATTTATTTCATTTGTTGACCGCCGTTCTCAGCCCCTTAGGGCGACTCACGGCGGTGTACAACATATAAAAACAGTTTACAATACATATAATTAAACTAAATCATCCGCGTCGTCTCATCATAGAATCATAACCCAATCTCATAGTCCATATTCCGTTCCAGTCGTCATTGCCAATTGTTATAGCACTTAGTTAAACGCCTTTTCGAATAACCATGTTTTTAGGCTCTTACGGAATGCCATAAGGGAGGGCGCCTGTCTTTCACAGTGTTGAGTATACATCAAGGGGTAGCAATGCCACTTACTATAAATCCATATTAGGCAGTGTATTCAACTTACAGTAGTCTCGCTTATCCAACCTTCATCCAGCATTCTGTATTATCCAATGCAGTCTGCCTCCTGCCTGGATGCACAGCTGTTTCAATACATTGCAATGTTTTGGTGCTAAATTCGTAAATACAGCAATTACTACATGCATTGAACTGCTTTTTCTGTTGATTTGTTGTAAAACATGATATTTTGGTGCTTAATTTGTAAAATCATAACGTAATTTGATGTTTAATTGGTTTTTCCTTAATCCCTCCTTATTTATTATCCAACATTTTCGCTTACCCAACGTTCTGCCAGCCCGTTTATGTTAGATAAGTGAGATTCTACTGTACTTCTATTTGCGGGAAGTGACTGAAGGGCAGCTGTCAGTCAAGTCCCTTCTAGAGAAAATCAAGTGATGCTACTTTTAACTTCAAATAGGGAATACAGATTCCTCCTGGCTTCTGCATATCTTTCACTACCAATGTTTAACATTTCTTGTAATGAAAGAAACATGTATATGTGCAATCTAGCTTCAGAGAATACATCAGTTGGCCATGGATTTCTGGTTTAAAAATAATATTTAAGTTGGGAATAAATGTTGGACCTGTATGTTTGCTCCTCCCTTCATGCACAAGCATCAGTACTTTGCTACTGTCTTCATTATGTCCCAAACTTTGGCTTTCTGTCAGTTCCACAAGGATGGGTTAAAAAATTTGTTGCAAGAATAAAGCCATTGCCAAAATCTCTATCACTGGTTTGTAATTTGCAAAAAAGCATGTGGGAGACAGCAAAAATCTAGTTGAGGCCGAGCTTCACTTTTCATCAGTAGAGACCTTAAACTCACAACCAAAGTCACAACGGTGTAGTTTAAAAAGAAAAACCTGAATGTTTTAGGATAGCCCCATTAATCCGATTGATAATCTGTGGCAAGACTTGAACTTTACTGTTCACAAGCGGTACCTATCCACTCTGACAGATCTGGAGCACTTTTGCCATTACAAATGGGCAAAAATTGCAGGATCCAAATGTGAAAACGGATAAGAGACTTTTACCCAGGAATACGCACAACTATAATTGCTGAAGGTGCTTCTACCAATTATTGCCCACTTATATGCCAGTTTGTGTTTCCTTAACTATGCCACAGTAAAAGTAATTCACACTTTCACAGTGTTGAGTATACATCAAGGGGTAGCAATGCCACTTACTGTAAATCCATTTCAATTCAAGGCTGCAATATAACAGCATTGTAAAAAAAAAAAAGCGTATATATGTGTCTGAAGGCACTGTTTATATGTGTATAAACAGTAGATATGAGTAGATAAATAGATACCGCTTCTGTGGGAAGTTAACGGCACTCAATTCACTCATGCTGGCCACATGACCTTGGAGGTGTCTATGGACAACGCTGACTCTTCGGCTTAGAAATGGAGATGAGCACCACCCCCCAGAGTCGGACACAAGTAGACTTAATGTCAGGGGAAACCTTTACCTTTATATACACATAGTTAAGACAAAATTCTTCTGCAGCAGGGTCTCCATGTACTGATGGCATGTAACTTCCCAAAGGAAATCTAAATACAAGATGATTCCTCTTTGAAAAGAAATAATTAGAGCTACCTTTGAGGCATCTGTTTAATACAAATACAAATTTGTTTCACAACAGTTAGCAATTATATTAAGTTTTCCCCCTTTCCCAAATACCTTTTTTAATACACAAGTCATCCACAAAAGCATCTAAGGTCTGTTGCAAAAGAGAATTGGGTCAAACAAGTAAGAAACCTGTCGGTCCAACAATTGTACAGAAAGAAAATATTTGCATCATCAATTGCATTGCAGTGCAAGATTCAGAATGTGACAGCTAATTTTGTAATGGATGTGTGTACCGATGTACACGTTTCAGAGCCATAGATAGTATCAATTGCTTTCCAACTGTAGCAATAGCACCAATAGACTGCTTAGGTATCCTCAAAAAGCTAACAGAATAATCCAGAGGTCTCTGAGAGCCCCACAGTTATTGAAGAAAATTGTTTTGGCATTCAACAAACTTCATCATATTTGTAGGAATCTTAGTTCACTATATAAAACACTTTCCTTTGATGTATCTTCTGATTTCTCTGTCAGGTGAAACTAAAAAAAATAACACTGCAATATCTGTGCGACAAGTGCCATTTTAATGGCGTTTTCTTTAAAAACGGATAACGATTCCTACAATGGCTGCTTTTCAACTATGTGCATTGAGATTCAGAAGAAGAATATCAAATACTTTTTTCCTTTCTTAGCTTTTCAGTAATAAAGTCACTATCACCATTTGTCTTGAAAATGTGGGCTGGCATACATTTATTCTATAAGCTCCCTTTACCTCTTAAACTGTAAGGTCATTTCCTTCAATGCGTATAGTCATGCCCAAATTTCCATGTATTCGGACCATTACTGGCTTTGGGCTAAGTAACTGGACCTTTTCATATGCATAGGAATCTGCAGGTCAAAACATACTTATACAATGGAGTTTGCTTTGGACTGCACTGTATAGACACTTCAAAATCATAATTTGGAAAACTAGTTGTCTGACTTCAATATTAGGCAATTTATATGTTATTAGTTTTTCCTTATGCAACTTGTTGCCTTTTATACTTTCTGCCTTCTGTGTCATTTTTTTAATGCAAAGCACTGCATTATGCTAAAAGTCTATAGCTGGGCAGAAGAAGAAGAAAAACAATATTTTACCCCAAACTATTATTGTACTGTTTCCACATCTGAGCAGGAAAACCATCCAGTTTGAAATTTATTTTCAAACTGTGACCTTACTGTGACCCATCAACTCAGTCAACATGCATCATAATCTAAATCTCACAAAAAGTTGTGGAAGGAATTTCAACCAAATATTTAAATGTTAAAATGGCCACTTTTCTCTTTTGTTTGAAACATGACAGGTTAGTTGAGTTATACCTCTTGTATTTAAGACGTTTTGGTAATATATCACCTTATAGAAATATTATTTGCTTTGTTAGTATATGTTTAACCAGGCCCTGGTTCCAGTATGATAATAAATGATGCTACTTAAACTGATACTAATAGGCAATCTCCTTTTCTGCAGTTACCTGGATCAACTTTTCATCCTCTGCAATTTTCTTAAAAGTCTGAGATGTGAAATGTAGTCTTTTTTTAAAATGACAAACCACTGTGGTTTGCCCTCCAAGTCTCCCTTATTACTAATAACACTGTTCTTGTATAATTCACATTACTTGGGCACAACTCACAATACATTCAACAAGTGTAACAGTGGCATAAGACAGTGGAATCAAGTTTCTCTTGTATCAGATTGTTTGCCTTTTGAAATGGGATGCTAACACCCTTTTGTCCCATACATGTTATCGCTGCCGACTACACCATTATACTGATGTGTATCTCCAGTGTTTATTTAATCACACTTCAGTTTTACATCACTATGCTAGAACTGCAGTATTAACAACTGAACTATTGAACCTTTAATCATTGTCTTTTCCATGTGTACATGAGAGAAATACTGGCATCATGCCCATAAAGCTATCCTAGCAGCTTCAGAGTTATTCCTATCCTGATCTCTTAAAATAAATGAATAATTTCCATTTTCCTTCCCTTTTTTTGCATATTTCACACACTAATAAAATAAGTACTGAAAGTGTTTCAAAGTCATCTGCTTTAAGCTAATGCACTTCTCTGGACTACAGCACTTTTGTTTGTTGAACATGTTACCCTTTAAACAGAATCATTTTAGAGGTGGCGGGAATATTCTTCCCATCATTGTACTTAACTTTATCCTGCTTTTAAAAACAAGCAGTACACTTAAGTAAGTTGTTTCTCCAGGTAATACAATTTGGAAAACAACCTTGGATGTGATTACCATCTACTGGGGACCATGGAAAATATTTACCTAATTAACAGTCACTCAATTTAAACTTAAATGTTTACTGTTTTTAGAAAGTTTTCTTTTACATAGCTTCTAAATCCTAGATGCTATACAGATTCAGGAAGCCACCTCAGTGTTTAAATTCTCGCATTATGAAATTTAGATAATTTGTGCTTTGATGTATGTCTCTTATATGGTTTTAAAGGTTAATATGAATCTTTAAAAATTTGCTTTAAAGTATTTTCCCCTCAAAGATTACAATTATTAGCAAAAAGACCATAGTAGCAAATACATGTAAGGGTCCCCAACCTCCCCCCACCCGCTCCTGCCCCGCCTTGTAAACAGAACATCAGTAGTACAACTGTAAATGCAGGGCTTTTCCGCTATCGAAAGTGGTGTTGCTATGTTTGTTTGCCCCTTAGAAGCTGTCTCTGCTGTCTCTTCTTTTTTTGCCACTTTTGACTACACTTATCAAGAAAGGTGAAAAGCGGCGTCGCAATTACATTCCAGTGGTAATGTGCACCTTCACTTGATCAGCTTTCCTGTTTGTTCTGTTGCTCTTCGATCAAAAATATGTAGCGTTTCTGCCATTTTACTGTGGCGGAACAGTAGAAAGCACATTACTTTACTCTCCAGTGAAGAAGAACAGATGCCGCTTCATCAAACTGGCATGCCGTCAGAAGCCGTTTCTTCTCCTGATGGTTGAGAGTTTGTACTTGTTTGTGATACTGGCACCACTACAGTGTCTTTGATTTCAGTGTTCTGAATGGAGGGAGAAATTTTCTCCTCTAGTTTTTTGGCCGTATCTGGGCAGTTCTGAACAAATATCACTCGGTTGTAAGCCTTCAGTCTTCGCCACAATTGAATGTAGACTTTACATTGTACGTACATAAAGACGAGACCACCGGTGAATCCAATGGCTACTACAACCAACTTTGTCCAAAATGGCCACTCCAGGACTCCTTTTGGAAAGATTAAAAAAGAATTAAAAGGTAGAGTTAGTATCAGTGCACCCTGAACCATTGCTCCTTCTTCAAAATGTTTAGGGGTAGATTACAATGATTAAAATGACATTCACAGCTTAATCTATTAGCTTGCTGCTACCTTGGTGTGAAGCTAGCAGTTACCATGTAGTAGAGCAGTCATTTCCAACTTTTTTTTTTTTTTGACCAGGGACCACATGACCAGGGACCACTCTCCAACATTAGTTCCAAAAGGGTTATGAATCCATTTTTGGTCAACTTTAGATTCAGTTCGGTTAATTGGGGTGCTGGTTCAGAAAACGACATTGGATAGGCCACATCAGTTCTAGTTTTTGATACAAAACGTATGCCATCCAGAAGTCGCCATCTGCTCACCCACAGAAAACTATATTTAATAATCTAGAGCTGATGTGGTCTATCCAATGTAATTTTCTGAATCAGTGCCCCAAATAACCCCAGGAACAGGACTAAAAATGAAGATACCAAGATTATTTTTTTTTTTGCTAACGCTCAGCACTATAAGAGGGTTTTTGTAAGACCAGTCACTCTCTTTGCAACGGTGAGGCCGTGGACCATATTTTAGTTCTTGCAGACCACTGGTGATCCATGGACCACAAGTTGGGAACCACTGTAGTAGAGCTATGAGCAAAATCAGGTTGGCACAGCAGACTTTGGTAGAACCAAATGCTGAGTATTATTATTTTATTTATACCTTATTTTTTTCTCCACAAGGAGACTGCTTAAGGAGCCCTCCAAATAAACAATACTGCACTGATTAGAGGCAAGGGGGCTGTTAAAAATGGTTAGCACTCTGGTTCTCACAGTTGGGAAGAAGCTGCATGCATCATCCTTCAATGCCCCGTACACCAGTGCTACAAAATCCAATCTCCTAGTGTGAATAGCTGGATTTTAAAGCCCCTTTTTACAAAGTCTGTTTGTGCTCCCCATCTATCCTTTTCCTCCTTGTTCTCTCTCAAAAGAGATTTTAGCAACAGCAACATTGGGGCAATAGTGAAGGAGGATTGGAGAAAATTTTGTTGTTGGCTTGCAGAGTATGTCTTCAGTAAATGTTGCAATAAAACAAAATGGAAAAAAACAGAATTCTACTCTAGCTGATCTTACCTGGGATCTGATCATGGGATATTGGGCCTATCTGAAACGGCTCTCCGGCTACCCGATATACAGGATTACCACTTTCCCCCCACTAATTGGATACTACATTTTTTTTCTTTCATGGAAAATATCCAAAAACTGGCCAACATTTCACAGGCTGTCACCAATTCTGGGGCCTCACTTTGAAAAGTGTTATCCCTTGTTTGGATATAATCCAGCATGCCAATGCCTTAAATCAAGAAATAGTTTTCTAAGATCTACAGAGATACTTGCAGGAACACCTCAGCAAACAAGAGTCCAAAAGTGGCAGGCTAAAACTCGGCATCTCAATCCATGGCTGATACCAAATGAGAGACTCCCTACTGGGCACACAGAAGACTGGGCAATTTGGAAAGTGCTGAACAGGCTGCGCTCCGGCACCATGAGATGCAGAGCCAACCTTAATGGGGCCACAAAGTGAAGTCCATGACTTGTGAGTGTGGAGAAGAGCAAACCACATACCACCTATTACAATGCAGCCTGAGCCCTGCCACATGCACAATGGAGGACCTCTTTATAGCAACACCAGAGGCACTCCAAGTGGCCAGCTACTGGTCAAAGGACATTTAATATAATGCCAAGTTTAAAAACTTGGTGTTTTCTCAAATACATCTCAACTGTACCCTTGGTTTGCTCCTGACACGATAAATAAATAACTATGAAAAGTGCAGGCAATGTTGACTGTCTTTTAAATGTTAAGAGAAACACAGATGCTAACTTTCTCTGGGCACATAATGCAATCAAATTCTGAGAGTCTAGATTGTATGAATTACACATATTAATGAAGTGAAGTGTCCCTTATTTGACATGATCGTGTCCCCCCCCCCCCCCAGTTCTGGAGAGCAAAATATGAGTAATCAAACCCTATCCTCTGAAAAGCCCACTTTCTGTACCTTCTGCATTGTCAGTAGTCATTGCTCATGTTGGATTGGGGATTCAATCCAAAAGTTTGGATTCTATAGAAAGACTGTGTCATTTTTACATAGCACAAATGTGGACATCCTGCATCACATATCTCACTGACATACTGGAGGTGTATGTGCATATCTCAATTGCTCAGAATTATTATATTATTATCAAAGAATAGGTACTATCTTTATGATTTAAAAAAATCAAGATGAAGCCTCCCACTTAAATATGTGTAAAATACTTAGTACTTGCTATCTCCTTTCCTCCGGTGGTACAAAGCTTGCTTTATATCAGTTTCTAAAGATGTATCATAACAGTAAAGAAGAAAATGAAAAAAGGCACTCACCATTGTCATTGCCTTGCTTAATTTCCTCAGCAGTCCGATCTATTAATACATATAATGACCAAACTACGCAGGTAATAGCAATAATGTGGAATGTGACTGAGCAGATTATCTTTCTCCTTTCGCTTGTCGTCATCTGTAGTTTTTCCCACTGCAAATGGGAAGAAAATAATTGAGTTCGCAAGCCTTCAATAACAGCATTTACACACACAGCATTTGGTGAGGCATACATTTCCCACCTTTGTTTTCAGTCACTGATTTCTGTCGGGAACCTTTTGAGTCCTCAGTTTAGATCCATTGTGGGACATTCTGGAATGGGCATAATGCCAACCAATGCTTTCCAAGTCTTTTTTTTTTTCCTGACAAAAAGGATAATTCATCAGCTTCCACAGCTGAATTGCACATCAAATTGGAAAGTTGTTTTCAATAAATAATTAAACACAGCCCTGCTGTATCTTAAAAATAAGTCCTTCTTAATCTCTGGGCCAAAGAGGCCATTAAAATGCAGATACAACAATATAACAAGAGTCATGTGCTTGCTCTCTAGAGGAAGCACAACCCTCCCACCCTCATTGGATTGTGTCCATTACACCTGCACTTTACAATCCCTTCTGCCCTCCCGCTACCTTCTGTCATTATTAAATAACAGAAAAGTGAGAGGAAAGTTGGACTATTTGTACTAAGACCATGAGGGCTGCACTTTAACCTGTTCTTGCCACAGCTTCTGTGTGGTCTTCCTGCTACTTGCAGAGGTTAGTTAATAGTGAAAAAATAAGTATGCAAAAGTAGTCATATTATTATTATCATATCTAGTTTAGCCCATAGTGTCATTCAGCATTTGACTAGAATAATAGAAAAGCCTTCCTTCTGTAGATCAAATCAGATCAGATCAGATGAATAATTTTATCCTTATGTAATCATATTTCTGTCTTTTTCTGTAAGCAGATTAAAAAGCTGAGCTGTTGAAAACCCTGAAGTTTTGAATATTAGTTTTGTGTCTCATTAAAAAAGCTAAGCTGTTGAAAAAAGTAATGCCACACTGCCACCTTTCGGATATTTTTTGAAGTGCATAGCAAAAATGACAGTTTTCAAGCAACACTGAATTTGTGCCATTTCTTCTTATGTAATATCAAAAAGATGATGATACCATGTCAAAAACATCAGGTTGTAGGTATAATATAACAAGTATGGAATAAGATGAATATATAAGTTTTGTTTCCAATGAAACTGCTTGGTAAGACATTTCTACAAAATTGGCATAAGCCTATTCATCTTTGTTTTTTCAAAGATAGTGTTGTGAAGTTTTTAATTTTAGTATGCTACACACATTGTAAAGACTATTTATGTTTTCTCTACCATATTGTGAGCACGCACATACATACACACATACATAGTGTTTTTCAATAGTGGCTAAAATAATGACTGAAACCCTAGACAGCAAGAACCGAGTTTGGGAATGCATCTACGCTGCTGAATTAATACAGCTTGATACTGCTATAACTGCCATGGCTCAATGTTATGAAACTGTGGGAGTTGTAGTTTTACAAGGTCTTTAGCCTTCTTAGCCAAATAGTACTGGTGCTCACCAAGCTACAATTCCCAGGATTCCATAGCCAGTTTGGCACCACTTACAGCCAAACTGCATAAATTCTACAGTATAGACACATTCTAAGCGCCCCGTGTTTAGCTTCATATATATCCACCCTCCAAGGCAGCAGCCAAAGCTTACAAGGACACTCCTCCGACTATTCAGCTGCTGTGAAGGGTGAAGGAGGAAAGGAAATAACTGGGTATCTGTGACTGTTCCTTGTCCCCCTGCAATATGGACATGTGTGGGAGAGAGGAAGGGTAATGATTACATTGATCTTCCTCTGCCTGCCTCTCTCCTGAAAGCTGCAAGAAGACAATAGGCCATCAGCACTGCCAAGTCTATCCTCTCATAGTAACATCTTCATGGAGGATGTGGGGAGGAGGTTGACGGGATGGAAGAGGCTAGAAAATAGCTTCTTGATTCCATTCAGAAAAGCACACATCATTCAGTAATAGCATTGCTAGCCATTATTTAAAATGACACTGTCATTCAACATCCTTTTAAAAGAGGTAATCTGCTGCAACTTCAATAAAAGAACGAGGATGATAAGAGTTTTGGAGAAAAGAAGTATGAGGAAAGCTGGGCAAAGAGAAAAAGTGGTGACAAAGAATCAAAGTTTTGGAAGGGACCACAAGGGCCATCCAGTCCACCCCCCCCCCAATGCCATACAGGAAAATATATTCGAAGCATTCTCAACAGATGGCCATCCAGTTTCTGTAGAAGTCAAGGGGGTATTGTACTCATTAAACATCACAAAGGCTACAATAGAGAGAAGGCTGTACTTTCCTGTCCCACAGAACCAAAATAATGGTTTTATGTTTTAGGAGGGTAGATTTTAATTAAATAGTAGAAGAGATTTCTTGAGAGAGAGGTTAGGGAATGGGATCAATTGCCTAGAGAAGTGGTGGAATCTCCTCATCTGGATGTCTTTTTTAAAAAAGGCTGGACAACTACCTCCAGCTGGGATTATTTTTGATGGCGAACCTGCACTGATCAGGTGATTACATTTGATGGACCATGAAACCCTTTCCAATTCCAATAATTTTTCTAATTTTAACAAAGAATAGTACAGAAATGCTGATATTGATAATACAGATATTAAACACTAGAGGGTAGTAGAGGACTACGTACCGAAGTCATTCTTAGATTTATTCCCAATACCCTGTGAGATTAAAAACAGAATCATTCATGCCTAGAATGACATTAAAGTGCATTTCTTAGTAGATCTGAATCTAGGCCATATGCCCCTCCAAAGGTTGTTGAACTGCTGCTCGAAGCACTCATCACCACTAGGAATGCTGGGACTTGTCCAGCAAAATCTGAGGTCTGTGTCATTTTTTAATCCTGACCAAGAACCTTCTGCTTTATTTAAATCAAAACAAGTTACTGAATATAAAATAAAGGATAATTATTCCAATACAGTATGACAACAAAAACAAATGAAATGAGACAAAGATTTCTCCCACAATCAAGTATAGAGTCATAATGTATACAGTAATAGGAATCTAATGTCTTCAAATGTCCATACATATCTGGCCAAAAATGACTTGCATACAAAACAGAAATATCAGCACCTGCCATTTGAGAAAGTATTATACAAGACATTCATAGAAGACTTTAAAAGGTCGGTTTTAGTCCAAGCAAGTTACTGAACATGTTCAATTGACTAAATCGGTGCATGGAACTGGGAGAATCAGAAAGTAAAGCAGAAAGGAGGACCATGAAGGAGAATGTTGCTAACTTCCTGGAACACAGAATCATAGAGTTGGAAGAGGCCTTGTGGGCCATCCAGTCCAACCCCCTGCCAAGAAGGAAGAGGCCTTGTGGGCCATCCAGTCCAACCCTCTGCATTCAAAGCACCCCTGGCAGATGGCCATCCAGCCTGTGCTTAAAAGCTTCCAAAGAAGGAGCCTCCACCACACTTCAGGGGAGAAAGTTCCACTGAACAGCTCTCAGAGTCAGGAAGTTTTTCCTAATATTCAGGTGGAATTTCCTTTCCTGTACTTTGAAGCCATTGTTTCACGTCCTAGTCTCCAGGGAAGCAGAAAACAAGAGTTGTTCCCTTCTCCCTATGACTTCCCCTCATATATATATATATATATACACACACACATACATACATACATACATACATATACATACATGGCCATCATCATGTCTCCTCTCAGCCTTCTCTTCTGCAGGCTAAACATGTCCAGCTCTTTCAGCTTATTAACATGCACACTGCAAACTGCAATATTTTGACAAAGGTTCGACTTGTCACAGCACAACTTTTAAGAATACTTAACAAGAATGAATATTTTTTTCTCAAACTGGGATTTAATTTTTTCCAGAAATATTATCTCCAACAGTATATAATATTTGTGAAAAGTGGACAGTGATGAGGATTGAGAAAATGCCCTATAAAGTTAACCCAATATATTCCGAAAGAGAGATGTTTCTACTCCTTTCACACTCACATGCTCTCAAAAAAGGGACATAAGCTCATAACACTACAAAAGAAATTTTCATTTTTTGGCTGCAACATAAGCTTCTTCAGCATAAAAATAAGGTTTCCAACCTATATTTTCTCCTTATCTATGAATTCACTGGGTTGGCCATAGACAAAATATTTTTGATTTCTGTTTAGGAATTCAGAATCCTAAAAACAAAGGTACAAGGAGGAGAAATGCACTGCATAACTTTCTGCACGAGATTGCCTCCTCTAGCCATTGTAGTTCTCTACAGATTTCCAAGCCCAGGAGTCCTTCCATATGAGGAGAGCTGCTTCTTTTGCTGTTGTATACGTTTTATTTCGATTGTAAGAGCTGTAGCAAACTACTGGAAGCGAGAGCGAGCTTGTGCTCGAGCTCCCTCCGAAGCCCCGCCTTTTTTTCCCCGAGGCTGCGCTCTCTCTTGCTAGTGTGCCTGTTTTCCCTAAGAGCCGTAGCAAACTAGGATTTTGCGAGAGCAAACTAAGCCAGCACGAGTGATGCTCCGCCTCTTTCTCCGCCTATTTCCCTTTGCTAGGGCAGCGTTGCGAGCATTGCTTCCCTAGCAATGGAAAACAGGCACACTAGCAAGAGAGAGAGCAGCCTCGGGAAAAAAAGGGGTGGCTTCGGAGCGAGCTTGAGCACAAGCTCGCTCTCACTTCCAGTAGTTGCTACGGCTCTTACTAGGGAAGCGATGCGAGTGTACTCTCGCAGTTGGCAGAATTCAACTGTGAGCGTACGCTCGCATCCCTGCCCTCTGCAATGGAAAACAGGCACGCTAGCAAGAGAGCAGCCTCGGGGGAAAAAAAGGCGGGGCTTCGGAGCAAGCCCAAACGCAAGCTTCCTGTAGTTTGCTGCAGCACGAGCGTATGCTCGCAACGCTGCCCTAGCAAATAGGCGGAGAAAGAGGCGGAGCATCGCTCGTGCTGGCTTAGTTTGCTCTCGCAAAATCCCAGTTTGCTACGGCTCTTACAACCTGAATAGAGTTCCTATCTCTCAGTCATCATTTTCTAATAGCATGCAGATGACAGTACTAGCAAAAGTGTTGTGTAAGAATTAGAGACTGAGGATTTTAAGATGAGCACTAGA